AACCCCCCGGGCCGAGAAAAACCCCCCCCCCCCCCCCAGCCTGCTTTGAAATCCACCAAAGACACTTCCTCCAACTCTGAGCCAGAACGGACGTAGGCAGAGTGTTTAAAGCACAGCACTCTTGAACGAGCTCCCATTCAACTCCGGGAACACAGGGATACGCTGGGGCCGAGTGGGCTTGGCTGTAGCGACGCACAGAAGATCAAGCAAAAGCGTGGGAAGAACAAGAAGCAGCTTTTGTTTAATGCATCTGGTGCTATTTACCCATTAAATGGGAATGGTCTCTGTGGTGCTGTTAGTCTGGTTCCCAACTGCTTGGAAACCATGTAGCATTTCCTCGCTCAGCTCTCCTCAGACTCATTAAAAGGTGGTTCTGATAGTGCAGGCAGGCAGCCAGCTCTTTGCGCCCTGGGGTGTAGCAACACACAGGGTGGCTAATAAAAGGGATATGAATGTATTAATAGGAGCCAGCGCTCCCCTTGGATGAGCTCCACTAGCTGACACATTCAGGAACAAGCCTCACTCTGCATGGGCAAGTGAAACATGGTCAGGAGCAGTATTGCCATCCTACACCTGGAAAATTGAGTCACTACCATGTCAAGGGAGCTGGACAAGGCTCCAAGGAGACCATGTATGGCCCAGAACAGAACCCAACACTCCGCAGGATCCTGCCCGTGTTTGCTCAACTCCAGGCATGTCAGTTTTTATATAGCACATATCCCCGCCTTGTTAGTAGGGAGCAAACGGTGGCGAGGAAACTCCGTGGGCCATAAAAATCACCCGTTGCCTCCAGCTGCATTCTAAGTCTGCAGTTATCCCACCCCTTCCAAAGCACCCCACCCCACGTGCGGCTTGCCTGTCAGGTTCAAGTGAGGTTTCAAGTGATGTCGAGATGTAGAAGCAGCAGTTGCCCAAGGAACAAAACAATAATAATAAAATCATCAGAGGCAAATGTGCTAGCAGCAGGAGCTGCAGAATGAAGCTTCCTGAAATGGGTGATAGATGCTGAAACTCCCTAAATAACACTCAAGAGCGTTTCCAGGCTTTGAGGACAGTGTCAACAGGGGCTGCCGTGCAAAGTTGTTACACACGGTTTCATTTCCTTCTGTGGCCCCTGCAGTGTGGTCAACAGAGTGAGCAGGTGTTCAGAGAAGGGACTGAAACAAAGCACGCGAGTGAGTGTCAGGCCCTCAGGGGATTCCTCAGGATGGGGCCAGCTGATCCGGCTCTGCATCACATCTCAACAGGAAACGGCAGGAGATTTCAAGGAAGCGCCGGAAGAACTGACGCACAGTGCCATAGAGAGAGCGCTATATTTGCAGTGGTGTTGCATATTTAAGACAACTTTACATAATGCTTCCGACAAAGCTTTCGGGGTTACCTTTTTGGAACAGGTTCCGTTTCTTCCCTTTATTTCCTTCCACCAGGTTACTTGTGAACACAGAACATACGCCAGGGTGAAACTCACCCCGGCCACACTGCAGCAGCCCCAAGTATCCAGCTAAAAGTGAGGAGAGGAAGGCCGAAGGGGAGGGGGAGGGCATAGGCATAAACCTAGTTGGTCCTCACTGGGATTATCTGCTGGAAGGGAATGGAGGTGTCTGATCACTGGGGGTCTGGAAAGCCCCATGTGGCTAGAGAAGGAACTTACCTTGGCAGGTCCCCTTCAGCAGCACCTTCTCCCCCTCTTCAACCAGAGATGATCAAGATCAAAGCAGAGATGAACCCAGACCCGCCCCAGGTTTTGGAGAAACACAAGCGAGCCCTTGCTCTAGAATGGGTCACACCGACACCTCCCCTCCCCAAGGGACCATCCCTAATCCTGGGAACGTTCATAGCTGGGTCAGAACTTTCAAACGGGGGCTGATTCCCAACAAAGAGCAGGGGAGATGGATGCACTAAGCGGGTCCGTGTGTTCCTTCTGCAGCCCACTATGGCACACAGAGTCACCTCTAAGGCAGAGAATTCATCTTGGCCCATTTGCTGGACAACTAGAAAATACCCAACCCTTGAACCGGTCACCACTACTCCACTGGGCGAATTCCAGTCAGGTCTCAGCTTCCGGGACCTACCTGCTGAGATCCGCCCAGGGTTATGAATCAAAGACAGTTTCGTAGGTAAGGGGGTCTCGAAAGGGGGGCGGAAATCCAACAGACCCCATCCTCTCCCGGCCTTGAAGGATGTTGTCACATAGGCAGCTTATAAAGCCCCCATCTCCATATAGTGTCTGGGCAGCTTCTGAAGGCCGGGCTCTAGGCCCCCTGGAGAAGGGGGACATAACACTCAGATGTGAACGGGAGGGGGCAGGACAAAGCGGGCCTAACTCGTGGCTCCTGGTGGAGGAAGCCACAACAGGCCTGGGGAAAGGCTGTGGGTTTCTGCCAACCCAGGGGAAGGAAATTCACACTGGGGGCTAACTGGACACAGCCCGGAGCACCCATCTGGGGCAGAGCAGACACTTGCCAGAGTGGGCAGGTTTATTCATCCAGCCGAGCAGCATCCCTTGCAGGGCCTCTCTCAGACTTCAGCCTCTTGAGAAGGGACCTGGGGCGTCACGTCCTGGCTTCCAGGCTCCCCCCATTGCACGGGAAACACCAGCAGGTGCAAATGTTTGGCACAGTTGGCAGCCCCGCTCCAGGGAGCCTTGGCACGCGGCTGCTACAAAGAACCCACCCAATGAAGCAGCCTGGGGCGAGCGGGAAGGGAACTGACTCGGCCCAGGGATGGCAAAGTTCGATTCCCAGCAGTCACCATGAGGAAAAGGGCCAACTTGGGCCTTTGTCTCTATTGCACTTGGCTTCATATATATTTATCTATATATTTATAAAAATACAAACTAAGGGGATAGGGTGGAGGGGGATGAGATGCAGGCATCAAGCCAGCAGCAAGGACACAGGCAGGGCAGCCCCAGCCTCTGGTGCTCCCCATCAACCCATGTTCCCACAGTCCTCTGCCAGCAATTGCTCAGGAATGTGGAAGATCAGCAGCAGGAGTTCTGACCCCCAGAGGGTCAGCCACAGATGGGGAGGGGCAGGGCAGGGGATGCACAGGGGGTACCCCAGAGCTGGCAGCTCAGCGGGGTTCCGCCCAACACCTGAGTCACACCTGCACGGATTCAATAAATACACTGCTCCCCAGTCTGCTGTTGCCCTCCATGTGCCCTGATGACGAGCACTTCCGCATGCTCTCTCCAGCCACTCAGTGCCCATTCCTGAGAGAGGTGGGCGGGACTCCTGTTCTAGCACCTCCCCCTAAAACGAAACGGGAAAATTCTTCCGCCGCTTGAAGGTTCCTCTTTCTCTTCCCAGAGTGAATAAAGTGCAATTTCACGGGACGGCAGTCAAGAGAATCCCCACTGGGGGCACGCGCGTTTCTCCCCGACGTTCACCGTGGGGGACGCTCCCTTGTTCCATTTTATCTGACCCAGGCTGCCTCTGCTACCTCAGTCGCCCGTCAGCTTTGACGGCCCCCAGTTCTGATTTGGGGTCTGGAGAAAGTGAACTCCAGGAGGTTTTGCTGCAAATTTCCAGGGAGGAGCAGCTGGAAGGGCTGCTCACGCAGCGATCCGCCACCGACCAGAAGCTGCCGATGCTGCTGTCTGTCCAGTCCTCCAGGGCCTTGCCCGTCAGCTGTGCATTCTGCAGGGCCTCCTTCGCCACCTCATCTGGGCGTGGCAGGTTCAAAATCCCACTCAGTCCCTGGAAGCTTTGTTCCATGTACTCACTGCGGGGGGGACCCCCATGTAACCAGCTGCTGTCATCTGGGGAGAACACAGAGGCAGAGGTGACTGAGACCGGCGGACACAGCCCCCAAGCCCTTCAAACACAGCGCGGAGGCACTCACCAGCCCATCCCTTAACGTGCCACACCCAACAGGAGCAGAGACCACTCCTGCCCGAGCTGGCTCAAGGCAATGGGGATTTTGCCACACCTGCTGCTGGCCTAGACCGGCGCAGCTGTAGCGACTTCAGTGGGATCTCTCCCATTTGCAGCAGCAGAGAGAATGGCTCTAGATTTCCCCAGTGACAGGTGGCAAAGGCTCTCTCTGTCACCAGGTCATCTGCTCAGACCACATCTATGTGCTCTTTACTGCACAGCAAGCCAGGGTATGAGCCTACAGCACACCAACTTGTTGCGCAGTAACATCCCGTGTGGACACTGCTGCGGTGCATAGCATAAGAACGGCCAGGGTGGGTCAGACCAAAGATCCAGCTAGCCCAGTATCCTGTCTGCTGACAGTGGCCAATGCCAGGTGCCCCAGAGGGAATGAACAGAAGAAGCAATCATCAAGCGATCCACCCCCTGCTGCCCATTCCCAGTTTCTGACAGAGGCTAGGGACCCCATTCCTACTCATCTTGGCTAAAAGCCATTGATGGACCTAACCTCCATGAATTTATCTAGTTCTTTTTTGAACTCTATTGTAGTCCTGGCCTCCACAACATCCTCTGGCAAGGAGTTCCACAGTTCACCGTGAATTATGTGAAGAAGTGCTGCCATTTGTTTTAAGCCTACCACCTATTAATTTGGTGACCCCTTGAGTTTTGAGGAGTAAATAGTACTTCCTTATCTACTTTCTCTACCCCAGTCATGATTTTATGGACCTCTATCATATACCCACTTCGTATCCTTTTTTCTAAGATGAAAACTCCCAGTCTTATTAATCTCTCCTCATCTGGAAACTGTTCCAAACCTCTAATGATTTTTGTTGCCCTTTTCTGAATCTTTTCCAATCCCAATTTTTTTTTTGAGATGGGGGTGAACACATCTACATGCAGCATTCAAAATCTGGATTTATATAGAGGCAGTATGATAATTACTCTCTTATGGAGCCCCTTTTCTGAATGATTCCCAACGCTGTTTCCTTTTTTCACTGCCACTGCACAGTGCTGACTGGATGTTTCCAGAGCACTATCCACAATGACTCCAAGACCTCTCGAGTGATGACAGCTAATTTATCCCCCATCATTTTGTATAGCTGGGATTGTGTTTTCCATGTGCATTACTTTGAATTGATCAATATGAAACTTCCATCTGCCATTTTGTGGTTCTGTCACCCAGTTGTGCGAGATCGTTTTGCAGTTCTTCGCAGCCTGCCTGAGACTTAACAAGCTTGAGTAATTTTGTATCATTTGCAATTTTTGCCACCTTACTCTTGGCCCCTTTTTCCAGATCCTTTTTGAATATGTTGAACAGTGCTGGTTCCAGAACAGACCCCTGTGGGATAGCAGTGTTTATATCAGGGATGGGCAATCATTTTTTACAGGGGGCCACTTCAGAAATTTTTGAAGTGGCCTTGGGCTGCACTGGAAGGGGCGGGGCCAGGACACTTCCCTGCTTCCCCACCCACAGACCATGATCAGTCTGGTGTGGGGGAGCAAGTGAAGTCTTTGTCCTCCCCTCCCCCACGAGGTTCCCCCTCAGTGCTCATGCTCCTGGTGATGGCCTCCCCCTTCTGCCCCTGGCCCAATCAGGGCTTTGGGGTGGGGGGAGCACGCAGAGTCTTCTAAGTACCATGCGCTCCTTGAAGGGCGGGGGCAGGGCAGAGGGGGTCTTCCCGCTTATTCCATGACAACTTACTTGCTTAAGAGCTTTTGGTAAGAGACCCTCTCAAAGGCTTTCTGAAAATCTAAGTGCACTGGATCCTTCTTGCCCACATGCTTGTGGAACCCCTCAAAGCATTCTAGTAGATTGGTGAGGCATGAATTCCCTTTATAGAAGCCACGTTGACTTTTCCCCCAACAAATTATATGCTTCTATGTGTCTGACAATATTGCTCTTTACTATAGTTTCAACTAGTTAGCCCGGTATTGAAGGTAGGCATATTGGCCTGTAATTGCCAGGATCACCTCTGGACCCTTTTTTAAAGATTGGTGTCACATTTGTTATGTTCCAGACATCAGTAGAGAAGCAGATTTAAAGGACAGGTTATAGTCTACAGTTAGCAGTTCTGCAGTGAAAGGTCTCGAGTACCTGCAGTACCCTGACCTGCCCTCCCGGACTTTTGCTGTACTGTAGCAGTGTTCAAATGCACTGTAGCAGTGTTCACTGTACCAGTGTTACTGTGCAGAAAGCTGTCACACTGTAGCTTCACAGCCTGACTTTCCGTGCAGTAGCCCACCACGTAACAAGCCTTAAGATTCCAATGCACATTAGCTCACCAACAGCTGCTGGATAGCTCGCGGGGAATAGGCTTGGTGGTTTTCAGTGGTCAAGGAAAAGCCACAGGGTAGAATTGATCCCACTCTGTTGCCAGTCCCAGCCGAAGCCAAGAATCCCACCGGACATGGAGACGTAGCCTCCTTTCCTGCTGCAATCAGAGCAGCCAGAAGAAGCCTAAGCAAGGCAGGACTGACTAGGCGTAGGATGTGCCAGCAGGAGCCAGCTATTCTCCTTACCTTTCCCAACAGGCTGTTTATGGTTGAAGGTCTGAGGCACGACCAGGAACTGGTTCTCTCCAAGGGGCTCCCAGAATTGGAGGAGGCGGACGGTCCAGACACCGGGGCGCAGGGGTCGGTTGAGAGGGGGCTTGTACTGCGTGAACTCTGCCTCCGCGTCCACAGTGATGTCGTAGGACGTGGCGATGACATAGGTGGGGTCAATCCAAACCACAGTGGCGGTGAGGTTGGGCCCCCGGGACCATCTCTGCATGGCTACGGGCTCATCGAAGGGCCCGATCAGGCCCCCAAAATTCCGGAAGATCCTCTCCTTGGGATCCCACTCCGTGCCCACCTGAGAGGGAGAGGTGGCCTCTGGCTGCAGTCGGCCAGCGCGTGAGGTGGACCCAGAAACCTCTGTTTTTTCATCACACTCTGGAGAACGTTCCACCAGCCTGACAGAAGGCAACACAGTCCCTGCCCCACGGGCCTAGGCTGGGTCACTGATACCAGGAGACTGAAAAGTCCGAGAAAGCAGCCAAGCGCACAGCAGTTGGGTCGCCAGCCCCATCCCTCATTAAATAGGAGGCATTGCCTCAGCCACTCCACCCCAGGGCATTCCCCTTGCTGGAGTATGAGCGTGGGATGGAAACGCCAACGAGTTCCGGGTACCACGTCGCATTCTCCTGCACCCTCCCTGGGAAGCCTCCTATCTGCTCTGTTAGAGCCCCCACGCCTGTCCCTGCACCGTACTGTCTCCTGCCTGGTGGCCACAGACACACAATTGCATTAGACACTGGAACAAAACTGCTAATCAGCTACAAACTCACAATGCTACACAGCAGTAGTCCGAGCCCCTTCCCGAGGGGGCTGCAGACCCTGCTGCTGCCCATCCAGCCTTTTCCCACTCCCCTGGCTCAAGATTTTCACCCGGGAGTCTCTCTCCTTTGTTCCCTTCCCACGAGACACTCCCAGGACAGACACAGAACTGGGCCTGAGCTCAGGCACCTCCACTTCCCCCGGCTCTACTCATTGTTACTAGTTACACATTCTGAGGCCAGAAGTGTCCACTGTCACCTAGGGAGCTCCCCTGAATAACTCCAAGGGCAGAATTTTTAGAAAAACCAGCCAGTCATGATTTAAACATTAAGGGTACATCTAGACAATGTTCTTCTTTCGAAAGGAGATATGCAAATTGGGCACTAATTTGTATATCTGCTTGCAAACGCTTTTTCGAAAGCGTTTTTTCTGAAAGTGAAAGCAGTTTAGATGGGGGGTGGGAGAAGGTTTTGAAAGAACCCCCCTTTTTCAAAAGAACCCTTCTTCCTTAAAAAAATGAAGTGTACAGAGTTCTTTCAAAAAAAAATCGGAAGAAGATATGCAAATGAGGGCTGAATTTGCATCTCTCCTTTGATAAGTCCAGGGTGGGCAAAGACAGTGCCGGGGGGAATTGGGGAGCTGGAGGGTGTGGTAGCTATGGAAGTCAGAGGGATTACCAAGGCTGGAGAAGCAAGTGTCTAGGTGTCCTACCTCCAGGTTCTGTAGCCGGTTAGTTTGTCCTCCTTGACCTGCCAGCTTCAGAGCCCCTCGTGGCATCATCCACATCTCCAGAGACTCCAGCTGCCCTGTCCCAGAGTTCTGTACCTCCTGCATCACCAGATAACCCTGGAAACGGTCGTCATAGAAATACAGGTGCACGCTGGATGGGAAGCCATGGGGCTCAAATCTAGAGAGAAGAGACCATTGGCATGCTCACATTCCACGGTGCTGCGAGTGGCCCTACCGCTCAGAGCCCAGATCCGGGCTCTCCAGGTCTCCTACCTGCAGAGCTTCTCCCCCTTCTGCGTCTGGGATGAGGTCCCTTTCTGCAGCCCTAGCCTGGAGAAGGACGTGTACACAGTCAGGATGAGATCACTGAGCCCGCTCAGCCCGTCCACACGGTCATAGACGTTCTCCCAATAGGCCTTGAGGGCTGGCGTGTTGGGTGGGTAGTTACCGTAGAGGTGCGAGTCCAAGATCTCCAGAACTTCCTGATTCACCGTCGACTCAAACTTCCTGGCGAAGAACGTGGGTCTGGAGAGTTGCTGAAAAGAGACAGGCATTCCCAACGGCATTGGCAGCAGCTGAGACACTGACAAACAGCAGCAAATGCAACTCGTCTATTTCTGCTGCGCAAGCCAAGAGAAAGGCAAAGTGCCAACAGCCCAAATCATGAACTAAGACTGAACATGCTTCCCAATTTACTCAGTGAAAACATTACCGGGGAGGCAGATCAGTTTGTTTTCCAGAAAGATCTATACCTCGACAGCAGCTCTTGGAGAGACCTGTTACCGACAGGCCTTATTTCCATCCCTTAGCCCTGCAATTTAGGAGTCCCCAGCTGAACGCCCCATGGATGAGGCTGTGTGTGTGTGCTAAGTTCTGCCTGGGTGGCCCAGGTGGCAGGATCAAGACCTTCGATTGCACAGAGCCAGGATTTAAGTGTTCAGTTAGCAGAGATTAATTGCAGTGGGAGGGCTGCAAGTTTCTTCAGACTCTCTCTGCCTTGCATTTGCAAGCAGGCCGATCTGCCTCATGTTTCACAAACTGTCCCCTAACAGTAGTTGAGGTGTTCAAAGATTGCTGTGCATAACCAAAGCCAGAGGAGGAAGGAAAGATAAGTGGTTGCCTGAGCATGAGATCTGTATGGAGAGAAGGGGAAAATGGAAGGAGATGCAGGATGGGAAGGGAACTGCTCATAGCTCTAAAGAGAGAGGGTGTGTCAGGGGAGAGAAACGGGAGACAAGCAGATGGGAGGGGGAGAGTCATTTTCACCTGTAGCCGCAGGAAGTCCTGGGGTTTGAAGTCATTTGGGGAGCACCCGCACCAGTCGACTATGTGTTTATATTGGCACTTACAGCCCAGCTTACGGTTCCAGTTTGTCACCCGGAGGTTGTTGTCGACGAGGGTTTCGCAGGCATGGCTGTTCTCCAGGATGGTGTGGAAAAAGGACTGTGCACAGACAGAGGAAAGAGCAGAAACCACCCGAGATGGAGCAAGCCGAGATAATGCAGATCTCTGCTAGCCCTCACTCCTTCAACAACCCACCCCATTCTGCCCCGGCAGGAGGGGACTTCAGGCATCAGCTGTTTAAACGGACAGAGCTTTGTGCGTTTAAAATGGGACAAAAGTCCTTCATATTTCTGTCTACAAACTCCTGGCAGTCCCAGCGGGCTCCCTCCCATAATGGACCCAGGGGGCGGTCTGTCATCAGCTCACGCGGCACAGATTCCCAGCGTGCTACCAAGAACTAGACGCGCGTATCCAGGGGGGAGCTTTGTAACTGATGTAAGGCGGCCAGAGCTTAATGAAGAGACTGGGAAAAACAAAGGCACTTTCTTTCTCAGCCTGGCTGCTTCCTGTGGGTCCGCCTCGCCCCTGCCCCACGTGTTGTGCAGCCATTGGCTAGGGATGTTAAGAACTACTAGACTATCCGATGAGCAAATTGGACAGTTAACAGGATAGTCGATAAGTTACTTCCCTCCCATCCAGCTGCCTCTATCAGATAGAGGGAGCAAGAAGGGGAGGAAAGGGGCGTGGGGGGGGGAGGGGGAAGAGGCAGGTACTTCAAAGTGGCAGCGCCGCACGGACCCCGGGGTAAGCTGGGGAGTCCCCAGCTGATCCCAGGCTCCAAGCTGCTTTGAAATGCCGCATGGAGCCTGATGCCGTGCTCCACCTGACATTTCAAAGCAGCAGCGCCGGGCTCAGCACAGCAGCGCCACCGCTTTGAAATGCCGGGTTGAGTCCCCAGCTGACCCCAGGCTCTGCGCGGCATTTCAAAGCAGCTTGGAGCCTGGGATCAGCTGGGGACTCCCCAGCTGACCCTGGGCTCTGCGTGGCACTGCCACTTTGAAATGCCGGGTGGAGCCCAGGATCAGCTGGGGACTCCCCAGCTGACCCCGGGCTCCGTGCCACATGCCAGCTTTGAAATGTACAGGAGTCCCCAGCGGGGGCTCTTGTGCAGTTCAAAAAGGAAGTGCAGCATGGAGGAACGCGGAAGTGCCTATCGACTAGTCAAGTAATTGATGGAAATTCCATTGACTAGTAAATTAATCGCTAGTTAACATCCCTACCGTGGGCACCACACAAAGCAGGAGAGAAGTGTTACCGGGCAGAAGGGCAGCATTTCACACCCTCTTTGCAGGGGGGGTGCACAGGTGCGGGCAGGGGGAATCTGACCGCGTAGGGTGCTTCCCTGACACACACCAGCTTGGACTCCCAGTTGCCTGTGGAGCCAGCAGAGCTCGGGAAGAACGAATGGTGCTAGAATCCATTCAGCCTTCCCGGCAACCCCGGGCTGGAGCTCCGCTTGCAGGGCCTTTACTCCCAGGGAAGGGAAAGGCAGAGCTGGGGTGCAGGCTGGGTGCATGGAGCAGGCAGGCAAAGCAAAGCACAAAGCGGCTGCGGCCGCGCGGGCAGCTCGTTGCTTCGCAGACACCGTTAGGAGAGAGAAACAAGGAGCCTTCCGATGGCAGCTGCACGGTCACTGGTCTGCTGACCAGCTGGTGCTTCTGTGCGAAAAGGCAGCAAGACCCTCAGGACCACGAGAGCACCGAGCAGCGGCTGGAGGCACCTGCCGCATGGAATGGAGATGGGTCGGCCACAGGGACCTGCCCCAGCTGCCGCCAGCAACGTGCCAGAGGGTCTGTCACGTCCGGGGTGAGCTCAGCAATGGGGGAAGGCAGATTTCCAGCTGCCTTTGGCTGGGTCTTAACTTCCCCCATCATACACCTTCCTCCAGGCCCATCCCCCTTCCAGTCTCTCACCCTCCCTCTTCGTCCCCCAGTCTCATCCACACCCAAAGGATCTTCCTACAGCAGGACATTAATGGGAGACCACTAGAGAGCATTATCCTGCTGCCATCAAAGCTGCTAGGAGCTTCCACTTGGATGAGAACAGGATGGGGCTCCCATGGCAGATCATGGTCTCAAGAGGAGGAAGACGAGTCAAACGGGAGAGGCTCCAAACCCTGCGATGAAGCCAGCTCTGAGCACCTCCCCCTACATACCCAGGGAACCTCCCCACCCACTCACCTCGGCCGGCAGCAGCGTGTAGGTATAGAACTGCCGCAGCTGGGACACCAGCTGGTCCTCCGTGTAGACCACGTACTCCACGAAACTCCGCGTCAGCGCGAACCAGTCTGAGCCGCCATCCACTACGATGCCCTCCGGGATCTGCCGCTCGCCCAGGCGCCACATGTGGGAGTCGCACTCATGGAAGAGGCGGTCCAGGCCCTGCTTCTTAATGAACCTGCACAGGGACGGGCAGGGTCAGTGGCCTGGGGGTCTCTAGAGGAACACACGTGCCCTACTGCTGAGAAGTCACGGAGTAGGGGTCAACGTTCCCTCTGATATTTTTTCATCCATGCGCAGAATAAATTTTGTTATGTGCACAGAGGCATGTGCAGATGTGCACCACCCACAGAAACACCTGCTGCCAGCTGCAAGCACTGTGGGCGGTCTGCTAATCAGCTGGGCAGCATTTGAATCTCTCCTGGGCAGCCGCCCAAGCGCTCAACCTACAGGGAACACTGGCAGGGGCATTTCCCTGCGTGCTGCAACGAAGTCGGAGCAGATCCTCTGCTAGCCTGACTCGGGGGGCTTCTTTACAGCCAATACTGGTTTACATAGTGGCTGTCCTGGCTCATTGTACTCTGCCTATAGAACCATATGGAGCTGGGTTCGTTCGTCCAGCTGCTTTGTGGCGCTTGCTTCATCTCAGAGCTCTCCCCGTGCCAATCTCTATCCCAACCCCAGTGCCAACCGCAGCTCTGTCTCCCTCCCCATATGGGTTACCTGGCATTGTCTCGGCCGTGAGACTTCAGGAAGTTCTTATCTCGGTACTTGGACAGGAACATCACCAGCTCCTCGTTGGTCCTGCAGGGATCAGCGACATGGAGAGCGTGTTAGCAGCGCAGGAGCGGAGCCGCCGGGGCTAAGCGCTTACACGGCAAGGTTGCGATTTGCAGAGCCACCGGTCGTGGCGCTCCAACGCCGGCTGAGGGGCACAGGTGCAAATCCTTAGCACAGTGCAGGCGAGATGCAAATCTGCCTTGTGCCTGGCGGGGGCCGGGGCGGGGGCGTGTTTCCCCTGCAGCACTCGCAGGCCGAGGGACAGAGCAGGATAAACTGATTCACACTAGAGACTCCCAGAGAAGGTCCTGCGCCCCCAGCTGGATCCAGTGCTCTGCTGCAGAGATGGGATCAGGCCTGGGGATGGGGCAAAGCTGAATTGGTCCATCCCCCACTTGCATGGGGCCTCCTCCCCCCACACTTGGCTTCTCATTCACCAGCTGGAGGCTCAGCGCAGGCAGTGCCCCCTCCATCACCTTCGCCTCTCCCCCTCCTTGGGTACGTGGGTTCCATCCGCACCTTCTTTGCCCCTTTGCCCTTCTCCTTTCCCCTCCGCCCCATGTGGCAGGGGGGAATCTCGGGTCTTGCGGGGGGAGCTCAGGCAGGCGGGCGGGATTCCAGCCCCTGCTGCGGGAAGTGGCTCCTTCCCCCGACCCCAGGAACCCTCCCTCCCCCACTGACCTGGTCGGGTAGTCAGTGGCGCTGAGGTTGATGAAGTAGTCCCAGGGCCAGTCTGGGACCTCCAGCAGGTCGTTCATGCTGCGCAGATACATCTTCAGCAAGCTGGCCCCGCCCCAGATGGTGACCATGCGCCAGGGCGTGACCCGGATGTTGGGGTAGTGCTGGGCCAGCTCCACGGCCTCGCGGTGCAGGTAGTTGGAGCGCTGCAAGGGCGGAGGTTCCACCTCAGCAACTGGGCTTTCCAGAGCACCGGCTCCCAGCCCTGAACCACCTCCTCTACGAGGCCAGATCTGCTGAGCACCCAACACTCCCACTGACTTCAGCCAGAGCTGCTCAGGGCTTCTAAGGATCAGAGCGCACGCCCGCCCCTGAGCGCTTCACTGAGATGGGTGTTACTGCCCCACTGTACAGATGGGGGAAACTGAGGCACACAGAGTAAGACTTGCCTGAGGTCTCACAGTGAATCAGCAGCAGAGGCAAGAGCAGAACTCAGGACTCCTGCTCTAACCACTAGACCCACCGTGCCTGCTTGGTACTTCTGTCCCTTATGGCTGATACCCTGGGCCACCCACCTGCCCTCATGACGTGTCTCTAGGGTGGAGCCTGCTGGGCCACTGAGCCCTGCCCCCTGGGCACACGCTAATCTGCAGCGACACTGGCAGCAGCTCCAGACTTCAGCCCCATGATCAGAAGCAGGACCAGGGGCTTGGAGACTCGGGGCACAGACTGGGAGCCAGGCCAGGCCTGGCAGCCCGCTGGGGCACCTAGGATGGGAACCCAGCTGAGTTAACCTTCCAGGCTCCCTCGCTGTCCCTACGGCACCTGGGCCACGCTATGGTCCGTGTCCCGCTGCGGAAGCCGATGGCCCTCGGACAGATCCCCAAAATGGTAAGGAGAGGACAGAGCCGCCGTGCGAAGCAGAGCCAGGGCAGCCGTCATCCTGCAACAAGCCCCTGCCGTGATGGGCCCCATCGGACACCTCCTCTCCCCTGTGCTGCTGGGCAGCAAGGCGGGGATGCAGCAGTAACCCCCCTGCCATTCTCGCCTCCCAGCCACTGGGCCTGTTGGGGTTCAGAGGGACGGGCGGGGGAAGGGCATTTTCCCACCAGCCCAGTCTCTTGGAAGAGGAGCTGGAAGAAGGGAGGGAATGTGCGTTTCCTCTCCAGGATGGGGAGGGTGGGGGGAGAAAGAGTCCTTCAGTCGACTCCTTCTCCCTGGAAGGTTTCACTGGAGAGCAGAGGGCAGGGGATTTGGGGAAGGGAGTCTGCCCCCAGCTTGCTGGAGAGGGCGGGGTGCACTGAGCAGTTAAGAAGGGATGGAGAAATGGATCCCAGTGCCCTCGGTGGATCAATGAGGTACGGGGAGGTGGGAGGGAGGGAAATGGAGCCCTGCA